TTTCCAGCTCTGACATTTTTCACGTTTCATATTTTTCTGCAGAACGGCTGTTGTTTTATATATATATATATAAAAAAAACTGAAAGGAAAAATGCAACCTCTTGCAGTTTAACAAACAATTTCATCTGATTGTAATGTGTCTTTGATAAATACTGTACAAAAGGTGATTGCAATAATAAAACATTTGATTGCGACTCCCACTTTCTCGTCTCTCCAAACTTCATCCACCAGTGAACAGGGGGATTCTCCTCTAGAGCTTCCTCTGAATCAAATGAAAGAAAAAAGAGTCGTGTGTCCTTTTTCCCGGAGAACTTCTATACAACTTTTTCCCACCACGAAATTTTTCTGTACAAAAATAGTCCAACGTTAAGTAGTCCACAGTTTCTCTTATAAAAGTTCATTTCTCTCTCTCTCTCTCGCTCTTGTCTCGGGGCTGTGTCTCTTACATGTGTGTTAAGGGCAGCGTGCCGTTGATCGTCGTCCCGGGCACGGTGCTCTGGTAGTGCCCGGACATGTGTAGCCGGGTCTGGGCACTCTGCTCGCTGACCTCCGCCCCGGGCAGGTACATGCTGATCATGTCCCTCAGGTCCCCGCTTTGGCAGCCCGGAGCGGCCCGGTGGGACGACGAGGTGACGACGGGCGGGCTGGAGCTGCTGGACTCGGACTTCACCACCGAGGAGGGCCCCATGGAGCCCAGGGCGGTCATCCCCGGCGTGGTCTGCTGGGAATAGGACATGGAGTAGGTCGGGGAGCCGTTCATGTAGCTCTGGGAGCTGGTCATGGTGTTGTACTGCAGGGCGCTCATGTCGTAGCGGTGCATGGACTGCATCTGGCCCGGGTTGTGCGCGTTCAGCCCCGGGTGCTGGTAGCTCAGCTGGTCCTGCATCATGCCGTAGCCCCCGTTGGTCCAGCCGTTCATGTGTGCCGCGTAGCTGTCCATCCGCTGGTTCACACCACCGCCCAGCCCCGCGCCCACCCCGACACCGACCCCAGACCCCATCCCGTTCCCTCCCGGAGCCAGCAGCCCGCCGGGCAAGGTGTACTTGTCCTTCTTCATGAGGGTCTTGGTTTTCCGCCGGGGCCGGTATTTGTAATCCGGATGCTCCTTCATGTGCAGGGCCCGCAGCCTCTTGGCTTCGTCGATGAAAGGTCTCTTCTCGCTCTCCGACAGAAGTTTCCACTCTGCTCCCAGCCTCTTGCTTATCTCCGAGTTGTGCATTTTGGGGTTTTCCTGGGCCATCTTCCTCCTCTGGCCTCTGGACCACACCATGAACGCGTTCATGGGTCTCTTTACGCGCTCCGGACTGTTTTTCTGGTTCGGGCCAGTGCCGGACGTGTTGGTGTTGCCCGTGCCCCCCGTGTTGGTCTGGGGAGCAGGGGGCTTCAGTTCAGTCTCCATCATGTTATACATCACGAACAGCTTTTCAGGTGGAGCTCCCGTGCGGAGGAAAGAAAGAAACCCACACAGAGACAAACTCCACACGCCAGAGGCAGGACGGTGAGGATGAGGAGGAAGAGGAGGATGAGGAGCTGCTGCTGCTGCTGCCACAAGTTACCTGTCGATTCCTCTCTGCAACTCTTCTCTGGACAAAAACAACAAGCACCGCGCCGCGTCTCCCACACTCTCCCCCTCAGTGGAGTCTCTCTCTCTGTGTGAGTGCGAGTCTTCTCCCGGTGGGTTCCCGCTACGTTGTGTCCACAAAACTTCTCCCGTCGCTTCTCCCAAAAAGCATCAACACACTGTACTTTTTCGCCTGTGTCCGCCTGAGCCTTGACAACTCCAGATACTTTTTGAACAAGTTAATAGACAACCATTCATGTGACGGGGCCGTCAGCGAATAAATGGCGTCGACCTGGCCAATCAGAGCGGGCCTGCTCCCCTGACACACCAATGGGAGGCCACAATTAGCATAAAGGGGAGGGGCCTTCCCCGCCCCGAGACACACACGCGCACACACACACGCAAACACGCACAGGCTGCACATATGAGCCAACACTACATATTTACTATTTGCGGGCTTATGGACACATTTCTCCGGGGACGTACACATGCTGCCACTTCATGGACAGATCCCAGCATCGAGCAGAGGAGCACGCTGTCTGAAGGACTTTGAGCTGCTTTGAAAACTTTGATGCAAACACAGGAGGAATAAAAACTTTCCAAATAAATGCAAAAAAAAAACCAGGCTTTACTTTAATTGTTTATAAGCTGTTTTTTTTTTTTTTTTTTTTAACGTGCAGAGTAAATTCTGGAGATAAATCCAGGCCTCCGAACTAAATAACAGCAAAGTTAAATGAACATTTAAAAATGAAATTCGTTATTATTCCAATGTTAATTGACATTAATGGTGTCATCTTCTCAGCCTCAGCCTGACACCGAGTCACGCTTCTCTTGTTCAAAATCAAAAAGTCACTAATTCCCCCACTTATGGCGCCAATAACATAACAACACTTAAATAAACTTTGTGAGTTCACTCAAAGCGCTGAATGGGTGTCTGTGTGTGTGTGTGTGTGTGTGTGTGTGTGTGTGTGTGTGAGTGGGGGGGAACCCACTGCTGGTTTTTATCGTTGAAAAGAGGAAAGGTAATCCAAGATGTTTCCCCTGCTCCCTTTGTTTAGTGAAGTTGAATGCCAACACACAGAAGGCAGACGGGCTCATCTCAGCGCAAATAAGCGGGTTTTGTTTGGGATGTTGTCGCTACATCTGTCCGGACAAAGACCCAACTCCACTCCACTTCCACCGCCACAGCGCTGCTGTTGTTGCCCGTGCTTTGAGGGGTGATGGGGGTGAGGAGGAGGAGGAGGAGGAGGAGGAGGGTGAGGAGGACACCGGCCCACACGAGGGGAGGAGAAATAAAGGTGAGGAATATTTTAAGATAAAGTGCGCGCTGGCACAAAAGGCGCAGCTCATTCATATCGGCCTGAACGAGCGTGTCAGCCAATTAGTGTGAAAGAGAAGCGGCCTCCACCTGCGTCACTTGATTATGGATCAAACTCACCGTTGTGGTTAGTTTCATCATTGTTGTGTGATAACGTGAAATCTTTATTTGAATGTGGAAAACGGCTGAAGGTTTCATTATTGTTGGACTTCGGGAGAGTTGGTGACACTTGTTTTTGCTTTTTCCCTGAATCTCCGTCTGAGGGCAAGGCGTCCTGCTGCGTGACACCAGCGCCGCCTACTGGACGCAGGGAGAACTGCAGCTCCACCGAGAAGGGGGGGGGGGTTTCTCCAAGCAGACAGGAGGAAGTGATGGTTGGCTGTTTTTAGAAGTTCAGCTAAAAGATATGAGAAATGCTCAAAAATATTCTTCAAATTATATTTATTTAAAAAAGAAAATAAGAGCAAGGAAACGCGTGTTTCACACCACAGCTGTTACCTGCCCAATAATTAAAGATAGATCGAGTACACACACCTGGAATAATTCAATTTAAACGCGCGTCTCTAGATTAAATCATAATTGAAAGTGAATGGATCAAGCCTTATTATTTTGTTTTAGTCATTTGATAATAAATGGAGGGAGCGCAGCCCCGTGCTCTCATTATTCCGGCCCCGGCAACCTTACATAAGATTCATCTTGTGCGTAATAGGCTGCGAGAGGCGACACATGCAGCTCGGTCCATTATAATGCAAGGTTGAAATGGGCCGCTCGGCTGTTATCTGCATCTGAGTGTGTTCCCCGCTACCTCTAATCTGCTTATGATAATAAAGGAACAGCGGGGCCCTGCAGCTCCCTGAAAGCGGGCCCCATCCAGCCGGGAATGGCCCTGCATCCACAATCATCCTGAATTAAAGCCGCTGCTTGACAAAAACCAGGAGGAACCGGCGGGGCGGTTCCCTCGGACCACTTGTAAGCCCCCCGCTACACCAGGTTGGGATGGATACAACAAATACAGAGAGTGCAGCACGCTGAGATATCAAAATACTGTTGTGTGGTTACACAATTTTAGGTAATGGGATCTCTGCAAAAACAAGCCACAAGAAAGAGCAACAATAAAAAAAAAAGAAAAAAAAAAGTGAGATATTATTCCAACAACAACTGTGCACACGTGAAAGCTCCTCCTCAACTCTGATGAAAAGTTGAAGCATTTGGAATTAAATAAAACTCTGAGCTGATCGCGGTGATGGTGGCGCGCGTCAGTTCATCCAGATGGAATTTAATTTTACGCGCATCTATAAAGGGACAGATCCGGTGAAAGAGACTCATGGATGATAATTGTGAGAGAAGAGTTCAGGTGAAATGGAAATAAACTTGTGTGTTCTTGCCACTAGGGGCCGTACCGGGGGCTGGAGACCGAGAAAACACTGAGTGAGAATAAAATCAAATACAAGTCTTTCCCTCATAAATACACGAACACAATTATTCTGAATTTGAGAAGACGACATATTTAACTTAGATGTTTTTTTAAATAATATATTTTTTTGTTTCCTTTCCAAAATAGATGTGGACAATATTATTTTTTTGGTGAATAAAAATGAGTCAGAAGAGAGCATGCCGCTGTAACAGTGACAAGATGTCGTGCAGCTACTAGACTATAATAAATCAGAATATAGAGTAATTTAAAATAAGTAGAGAAGATTAAATCTATAATACTAGAGAGTAATATTATAAAAGTCTAATAAAGGCGAATCAATTAAAGCAAATTGCGTTTGATTTCTAATTCAAACGCAGTGCACTGAATTTATTAAACACAGTTTAACGTGTTTTAAAATACACACAGGAGTAATTAAAGTAAATAAATGATATTAAACGACTGTAAATGAAGCTGAAGGCCTGAAGCACACATGAAACACAAAGTGTGTGTTGAGGAGAAAAACCAAACCGGGCCGCAGCAGCTCAGTCAGTCAAGCTCATGATGCCATGAGGTGTCATTCCACAACACTGCGTGATTTACACACACACACATGTACACACACACACAGACTCACACCAACACACACACACACACTGACTGACACACACGCACGCACACACACACATCTCCACTGCTCTCCAACTTACTGCCAGTTTGGGAGTTGTCTTCCTCTCGTGTTGAAATAAAACAAGAAGCTGTTTCTCTCATCCTCCTCATCCTCCTCTCGCTTCCTCCCCCGGGCGAACCAGCCTCAGTCTGCCCGGGGCGCGGAGCTCCATGCGCCGGGCGCGAAACAGTCCAACCGGCAGCCCTCCGCGTCCTCCTTCCGCCAGCCCCCCCTCGGTAGTCCGCGCGGTTTTGGATCCGGCAGCCGGCTCGCTGTGTCGGCCGCGCAGCGCCGCGGTGCCCCGCAGTCTGTCTGGAGCTCCGCTGTCTTCTCTCCGCTCGCCCTGCAACAAGAAAAGCCGTTTATGGCGACACACAATGTGAAAAGGGGGCCGATTTAAAAAGAAGAATGCAAGCAAGAACAACAAAAGTCAGTTATAGCAAAGTCTATGCCTCTCCTCTCCTATCTTCCACCCCCTAGCTTAGCCCACATAATGAGCAGGAAAAAGCTTTATATTTTGTTCACTGGGTATTCACAGATAATTTGAAGCCATTGTTTCTGCCACAGATGGTTCTTTTTAATACAATAACGGTGCTCTTTGTGAATAGCGAGCCCACAATAAAAATCTAAAGCGTCCTCCTGAATAACCATTTTGTTCTCTCTTGTATAGGCCGAACAAAAGCGCCAGTGAGGTAATGGCCTGCCTTATTGAAAGCCTCAGAATGGGGATTTGATAAAGATTTTTTTTTTTCCACTCCTTTTTTTGCTTTTGCACAAAGTACATGGCAATGTCAAAGAGAAAGTGACACGGTATGAAAAGGAAAGACTTGAAAAAGTGCAGGCTGCTGCAAAGTTCCAACAGCTATTAATTATAAATTATTATTGCTAATCATTTGATATTACGGTTATTATCATTATCTGTCTAGTATTTGCATTTCATAACTTTGTGCAAAAGTCAGAGGTGGGAGGTTGTTTTGGGAGCTGCAGCAGAGCAGGTCAGGTGCAGGCGTGTTATGGGTTTTACAATGGAGCTTAAATCCAGAATACATTAGCCTCCAAAGGTCTACTGTGGATTTGGCACAGCCTCATAATAATTTTGCATCGGGTGAGTCCAGTTGTGCTTGATAAAATTAAGTATTCAGGGCATATCCTTGGCGTCTCGCGGACACCTCGTGTTCCTAATTCTACCCTTTTCGCTACAATCGGCCAGGAAATATTTCACGGCCCTGGAGCGTTGATAAGCTACTGTGAAATGTCATAAATGCACGGGTGTTAATAGTGGCAGGAATCAGGTGCTACTAATGTAACCTGCTGAGGTTGAGATGCACGCCTGCAGGTGTGTGTGCAGTCAACATGCATCAGCTCCTCCACGATGGAGCCTGCAGCCGTGCAGCAGCCACCTCAGTCTGCCCACGGTTGATGTAATTTGTAATTAACTCATGGCTAATCAATAAAGCGTTTAACAGAAAGCACAATGGACACACAGGGGATGATCCCAAGCCAAACATATTGGATGTCAGTGATCGTTACAAGGCGAGGACACCCTGTCTATCACAGGGGTGGTGGGTGGGGGTGAGGAGGGTTAGCCGCCGCAGCAGAGGATAGGGGCAATAGATGAGGGGACGATGGGTGAGGAGGAGGAGATAGAAACATGAAAACAGGAAATAGAGAGAAGGGAAAAGTAACGGGAAAAGATGAAGGGAAGAGAGAGAGGACAGGACTGTGTACAAAAGATAAACTTAACACTTTTCTTCAGATGTAAAAAACTTGTTAAATGTTTAAAACTGTGGAAATAATGTGACAAAAAACATTAAACATTTCATCTGAGCACGATGGTCAGAAAAAACTTTCTAACAACCTGCAGCTTTTCACTGATGAATGTTTGTTGAAAGTTCTTCATGATTCAAGAAGAAAAGCTCCTTCACACAAGTTTCAATGAAATCAGTTTCTCTCCGTGTCCTTCCAACGACAAAATATAAATACTGTATAAATGACAGTTATCAAGCTTCAAGCTGCACGACAGCAGATCTCTGAACAGCAAATCAAAAGAGCGACACCCGCAAAAACAACAGCAGAGAATCCAATACGAGAAATGACCCCTGGACACCGTGCACGTATGTTCTCTGACCATCGCTGAGTTTATAAGATTTACATGAAAGCATCCAAAGGCACGGAGCTGTTCACAGGTGACGTCTCTGTGGTGCAGAGACACAGCAGTGGACGCGGAGCACCACTCGTCAGTGAAACAGTGGGAACAAGGAGGAAAGAGAAAGCAGCAGAATATAAGAGCTTTAGGAAGATTTAAAGACTTCGAGACAAACAGAAGCAGAGAGGAGACGTGGGGGACGGGGCAGGGGGGGGGGGTGACAGAGAGACAGGCAGGGAGAGGGAGGGAGAGAGAGAGAGAGGGATCAGTGCTCTCAGTGTGAATAGGCTTAGCAGTAAAGAAATATGACTGGCTCTTTATCTGATCAATCTGTGCCATGTAGTCTACACCACAGTCACACCACTCATATTAGAGAGCCGGAGCACTTTTAATTATAAACCCATCCACAGAGGCTGCAGAGGGTGATGATAGCATGTTGGAAAAATGTGGGGAGGGAGGGAGGGAGGGAGAGAGAGAGAGAGAGAGAGAGAGAGAGAGAGAGAGAGAGAGAGGGAGGGAGAGGGAGAGAGAGAGAGAGTCCAGTGGCACCATGAGAGCCTTTAGAAAGACCAGCATCATCATCACTAAATGCTAATGCATTTTACATTGAAGCTGTCCATTCACATG